CGCTCTGTCACCGGTTATTTTGTCCTTCTTGGTGGGTCCCCTATCTCTTGGCGCACTAAGAAGCAAACTACAGTGTCCCGTTCGTCTGCAGAGGCGGAGTACCGCGCCATGGCTAACGCCTGCGCTGAAATCAGGTGGCTCCGTGGTCTTTTGGCCGCTTTACAGGTCCCTTGTGTTGCTACTCCGCGTTTGTATTGTGATAATAAGTCTGCTCTCTTCATTGCGGCTAATCCGGTCTTTCATGAGCGTTCAAAACACATCGACATCGATTGTCATATAGTTCGGGAATGCCTACAGCGTGCTCATATAGTCACAGCTTATGTTCCTACGCGGCTGCAGACAGCTGATATATTCACGAAGGCGCTCCCCGGTCCTCTTTTTCGTTCTCTTTTGTCCAAGTTGGGCATTTTTGATTTATATGCTCCAACTTGAGGGGGAGTGTTAGCGTATATTATGTGTAGATATTAGTTTATGTACATCCTGTACCATGGTGGGCCTATCTTATTGGGCTTGTAACTGTAACTTGTATATATATCCCCCGGTATCAATGAAACAACCAAGTCATTCAGTTCACTAAATTTTACAGGGTTGAGTTTTTAGAGTGAAATTAAGCAAACGTTAATCATGATTTATTTTCAATTTGATTTGCATAGTAAATCAATAAAATCAAATTCTGGAAATTCTCAACAAGATAAATTAAATTTAGATTCAAAAAGATCAAACTCGACGAATACACTAGAACGTATGTAATAAAAATATGAACAAATACTACATTGTAATCAAATCAATAACACTAAAAAACAGTTGATACAAACATTCAATAACTAATACAGAGTAACTATTAGGACTAGTACTTATTATTTCATAAAATGATAACGTGAAATAACTTATATGTATATAACATGGGCCAATGGGCTTATATCGATGGAATGTCAAGAGTCTTAAAAGTGTGCTTGAAAAATGACTTTTTAATCGATTTAAGCTATTTTGATTTTTTTTTTCAAAAAAACTATAATCAGTGTTCAAAAAATTATTTTTTCAAATTGTGATTCTTAAAGTTTATTTTCTTTGCATCACTGTTAATCACAAGTTTTATTTTATTTAATTAACCTATGTATCAGTTCAAACATGGAACCTTTTTACGATACGATTAATAGAATTATACTCCTTTTTTGAGAAAAAAATATTATTTATTTAAATTCTCATGATTTCTCAAAGTCTAAAGATTTTATGAAAAATTTTATGGAAGGAGAGAGAAAAACTTTTTTGCCTTTTCATTATTAGGATAAATTTACTGAATCGGAGGTTGACCAATATTGTATGTATTGTCGTGCCAAAAAAACAAGTGATTAATAAAGCACATCCGGAGTAGTTTTAACTTTTAAATTTAAACTTTAAAGGAAATGTATATAATTTTTTTGAAAAGTCATGAGGGATTACTTCCCCATCTTAATTTAATTTTCCCATTTAGTTTTTTGATAAATTAAAAAATTACTCCCTCCGTCCCATAAAACATTTCCTGTTTCAAAAAAGGCGCGCCCTTAAAATGAGTAATTTTGGTGTTATTTTCTAATTTTGCCGTTACTTTATAAAAGAGTAGGATGAGATGTGTAAAATAGATTAGTCAGAATTAAAAAATAACACAAAAATTACTCATTTTAAAGACGTGCCATTTTTGAAACAGGAAATGTTTTATGGGACGGAGGGAGTATAAATTTTGACTTGATATGTGAAAGAATAAATTACACTTTGATATAAATACAATATCAATACTTTTTTTAAAACATGATTTTGATACATTAATTAACTTAATTATTCCATAATAAAATATATCTATGCCAAAATATTACAAAATACATTGAGGGTCCGTTTAGTATACGGAATTGATGGAATTGGAACTGAATTGAAATTGAAATTTCATGAGATACAGTTTTATAGAATTAAATTCATCAATTCCAATTCAATTTTTGCACTGTCAATTTCAAATCCACATAATTTTTGTACTACCAAACACCAGAATTGGAATTGAAGTCCTCAATTCCAATTCCATAATTTGAATTTCGTGTACCAAACGGGGTTCTGAAAACCATAAAAATATTAATTATGAATGTTATTTAAAGTTTAAACAAACATATATGCTTCAAAATAGCGAGCATAACCTTAAGTCGATTTAAGTAAATAGAAACTTTTATTCAATATTTATTTATTCGGGTAGGGGACATTAATTGATAATTTAGGTAGCAAATAATCCATCATCCAAACTGGATTTAATTCATGAACCAACAAATTTAATTAATTTAAGCTCCCAGAATGAGAGCCTGTCCAACCCTAAAAGAAGCATAGGCATCAATGCAAGCATACTCAACCTGAGCACCGCTCAGCTCCGCCGCCGCCCAATCGCTCCGGCAAATCTCCTCCGGCTTCGCCACCTCGAGTCCGCATATTTCCCTCGCCAGCTCCTTCAGCCCCGCCGCATGGTCAAACTTCCCCGGCCATTTCGCCCTCGCCAACTCCCGGAGGTCCGCAACCTCGGCGCACCCCAGCCCGTACTCCGCCCTCAGCTTCGCCACATCACCGGCAACCTCAACGCCCGCGAACACGAACGCGGGGTCCGCCACGAAGCGCTTCAGCGCTTCGGGGATGGCGTCGGCGTGGAGGAGCTGGAAGATGAGGCACGTGTCGTCAACGCAAAGCTGGAGGGTGGCCGACTTGTTGTCGTCGTTGGGCCTAGTGTTGGGCCTCCATTCCCGGTCCAAGCCCACCACGACCGCCGATCTGCCGGCGTGCTTGGACCGGATGTCGGCAACCCAATCGGTGACGACGGCGGCTTTTTTTGTGACGGTGGTTTCGATGGTCTTTCCGGCGACTCTAACGTTGTGCTTTGAAGACATGGTTGGTTTAATTTGCTACTTTATCTTCTATATATTGAACTTGTGTTTGATATAATTTAATAAAGGATTTGGGATTTTGGATAAGTAGGAACTTTACATTAGGTACTTATATATAGGTAGCGTTGCATGAAAAAGTGCTTAGAGTACAGAGTAATGGATGGGTATTATAAATTTTTCACGTGCATTATCTTGGGAGTGTGCATGGGAAGTCCAAAGGTTAGGAGACTTTTTGGAAATATAATTCGTGCAAATAAACATTGACAAACGCAAGAATATAAGAAAATGTCCAACATAGTGACATGGAAGAATTTCACCTATAAAATTAGGATGGTAAACGGATAGTCAAAAATCTGATTGCCGTCTGCATCCGTATTCATTTAAAAAGGAAATATACGCATCCGTTTTGAATGGATATTATCCGTATCCGATTAAGGATATCTGATTACTATACGGATACAGATTTGGTAACTGTATATCCGATCTGTTTAAAATCCAATCCGAATATGCGTCTGTTTAAATAACCGTTTATTCAAATATCTGATCCGTTATATATAGTTTTTCCTATTTTTTATGTTTATATTTTGTTTCTCTATTGATATTTCAAAGTATAAGACATTTTTATATATAAAATAAATGTGTAAACACATAAAAATATGTGCAGACATATAAAAATATGTGTATATGTGGTGTACATCTTTTTATCATATTCTCCCTCCGCCCCTGAAAACTTTTCTCCTTTCTTTTTTCATCCGTCCCAAAAAATACTTCTCATTTATATTAAAAAGTTAACTTTACCCCTTACTTTTTCATACCCTACATATCACATCATACCTTTTTACTAATAATCTATCCATCAAATCATATTTTTACCCATCACATCAAAGGACATTTTTTGAAATTCAATATCAAAATACACTCTCCTTAAATCCCTCTTCAAAAATCAAAACTCACATGTTTTCCGGGACGGAGGGAGTATATGAAGTTATCGTAGAATATCATAAATCATGAAAACAAAGAAAATAATTATCCCATAACAAATTATAGCTGATTTAATAATAGTTTGACTTTAAGCTAATTTAAAATTAAAGTATTGTTTAATTTGATTTTAAAAATTGGAAACGGATACGGGTATATCAGATATCCGGCGGATGCGGTTTAGATTTTCAGTATCCGTCAAAATACTTATCCGAATTCGATATCCGACAAAAATAAACGGATACATATTTTGTAATTGCACATCCGATCTCATTAATATTCACTTACACCCCTATATAAAATATAGTCTAGTCAGCGTGTGGCGAGATGGTGGAGTGACATTTTATGCAGTGACAAATAATTATTTGTCAACTTTTACATTTTTGACATATTTTAATAATTTAGAGTTATTTTATTTATCTTTTTTGATAAAAGTAGATGTACTCCTTTTAAAAAATATTTTTAATTTTTCAAACAATTGAACAAATAAAAAAATGGAGGGGAGTTGCCTCGTTCATGATACAGGAAGAGGGGTGAAATTCTCGGATTGCTTGTGCCTCGCCTGGGTATTGTTGATGTGGCAAGACGTCGGAGTAATTCATCATGCTACTGCGCATGTTCTAAGAAAGGGCCTGATTAAGAATAGTTTAGAGACGCACGAGCAATGACCACATGTATTAGTATTTGCACCAATTAAAATGGTAAGTAAAAACTTTATTAGATAAAATTCACTTAAAGACTAATTTTTATTCACAATTACTAATTATAAAGACTAATTTAACTCCATCAAAACTTACAAGGAACAAATTAATTTGACTCATATTTTCTAATTACAGACACTAAAGCGAATATTAAATCTTACTCACACATTGCCATAAAAATTGTCTCTATCTCAGGGTCTCTTCAGGCTCCTAGTCTTTTTACTCCCTCTCTCTTAGAGCATGTGCAATGGCAAAGAAGATGAATTACTTCTTCCTCTCATACCATGGCATGACAAGGGGTAATGCAATGTTTGGTGGGGCATGAGTGTGTCACTCCACCCTTCTTTTCTTCTTTTTTATAACTTTTTTTGTTAAATTTTTTTTATTTTTTTATGAAAAAAATGGTATGAGAAAGTAGAATAATTTTTTGATAATATAAATGATAAAAAAATTTTAATTTTTGAAAAATATTAAAAAATGAAAAAAAGTGATAAAAATAATGACTTGCCACTGTAGAGTTTGCTACTCCACTCACTTGCTAAACGCTGACTAGACTATTTTTGATTGGCTAAAATATTCCACGTCATTGTGTGGCATTCCATTTTTACCTCGCCATTGTTGATGCTTTTAACGCTATTAATATCAGCTCTCTTCGTTTCTTGTCTCCCCAAATCTCTTTACTCTCTTTTTTAAATATAAAAATTTGTCATTTTTTGTTTTAAATTTAAAATTTAAAATTTAAAATTTAATTTATATATTTTAAATGAAAAATTTAAGTTTCAATTTATAATTTTCTTTTGAATTTTTCAATTCTCTTCATGTGCTATGGAATTCAAAATATTGAATTTGAAGATTTCAAATTAGAAGTCAATTACAATTTTACGTTTTTTTGCTACCAAACAACAAAACTGAAATTAAAATTTCCTATTCCAATTCTATAGCCTTGGTTCCATATACCAAATTGAACCTAAACAATTGGAATGTGAAGGCTACTTGTTGCAGGTGCATTTTTCTATACCCGTTTAAAAATACTCAAGACTTATTGGTCATTTTTTATTTTTAGTCTCTACAAATCAAATATTAAAAAATAGTCCCCGTTTTTTTGTTCTTTTCACAAATAGTTTTCCATCACTCCTATAATCCACTTGATTAATGAGTGGGTGACAATATAAAGTGTAAAAAATGACTAGAGGTGAAATGGAACAAAAAAAATGACTATGAGTAGTAATTAGAGAATATTATTGAGGACCATTTATGATATATAGTCAAAAAATATTCAACAACAGTATACTCATAACAAACCGAGTACTTAATAAATAACATAAATCAGAATTGACAACATGAAAAACTCTTCACAGTCACAAATAAAGCTGTAGCAGTTGAGGTCTGTGTTTTCAAAAACAACATTGTCTTTTAGACCTTAGTTCGGTGAGACTGACAAATTAAAAAAAAACACAAAAACAATAAGAGAGATAATGAAATCAAATGAGTTGTAGATCCACACCAGCAGGTACGTGTCGCGCCAGCTTCTGGGCACCCGTTTTTGCATTTTTGTGTGGATAGAGTTTCATATCCGGGGGGAATTTGGGTGAAGCGGGGAACGAATATCAATGACAATCTTGTTGAGAGAATCTGCAACTCGAAGCAAAAGCCTTGCAAGCTCTCAAAGTCGCCTTTCACGCCAAGCCAACCGCGAAACTCCAACTCCTTTAGTTGCCCGTGTCGATACTCTTCGAATTCCTTCCAGAATTTCGCACTTGGCTGTACGTAAATGATACACACACACACACACACACTATGATTAAAACCAAGTAAGTATTAATGAAATAATTAGATGAACAAATTGTTGCGTACCTCAATATAACTCCCCGGCGGAGCATAATCCCGTTCATACTACACATTTTGATAAATCAGTCATTGAAAATAAAGTCGATGAAATATCGTAATGCGTAATAGGAAGATGGGGTACAGAGAGAGTAGGAAATAGGAAAGAAGTCAAGGTTGCATGCCTTTAGCACAAACTTGCGCAACTGAGGAGACTCTTTCAAAAGTATAGCTAGGAAAAGGATGCTTTGGCCCTCATTGACCAAAAAATCCAGTTCTAATACCTCAAGGCGAGAAAATTTTGCGTATAAGTTACTATATATAGTGTCGCACAAACCAGACCAAACAACCTAACCAAGAAAATGAATGTTGTCAATCACAGACATTTCAGAAATATAGGACAAACTGGTAAAAGCTTACCTCTCATTCTCCTTAACTTACCTCACGATGCAAGTGAAGTACCAGGCGCTTGAGCTGATGGACGTAAGTTGTAACTTTTCCCATATTGGGGTACTGCATTAGAAGGTAATCACCTCCAAGGGACATTGATGACAAGAGAGGAGCATTTTCCAGCGATACATTAATCGCCGGTCCGACAAAACTAAAACTCAAACTCTTCCCGAATTTGATTTTCGTCGATTAGCCCAGTGGACCCTCTTCCGTGAGAATCATAATCCGTTATAAGCATTGATTGGACCCTATCAATGTTCTCGCTGAGTCCGGTTCCGGGCCGAGCCAGGAGGATACACTATAATAGTTCTAAAGCTTGAGCCCGGCCCGACCCGCATATCGAGTCTAAAAATAAAACTCGACCCCGACCCACGTGAATATGCACGGGTTTCGGACTGGCCTGGCCCACATTAATAATAAATTATGAACGTATAAAGATGAAATTTTAAACATTAATACATTCGGTGTGTAAATTTTAGCAAACAAATAAATCAAACGTGTGTGTGTGTGTATATATAACTATTTTAAATATTTTATTTAGACTTATAGTCCCAGCGTGTGCAGAAAGAGAAAAAAGAAAGAGATTGAAGAGAATTCTAATCCTACTCGATTTACTATACGCGAGGAGAAAGCCATGGTTGAAAATCTTAATTAAGTACCCTCTAACAAGATTATTCTATTCCATATATTATCTTCGCCTTTCCTTATGATTTTGGGCGTGCGAGAGTATCGATCTGGAAAAAGAACAGGAGCATATCCGATCAAAAAATAAAGAAGAAGGTGCAGATTTTGTGAAGGAGCACATACGACATTTCCTTATAGGAATTGCATTTCCAAAAGGAAAATGCTGGAGTCACAAACATATAATTCACAAACTTATCTTTTGTTTATCTGGTAGCAAATGTATTTTGCAAAGCTTGAATTTTACCATTGAACTGTAAACTGGTATGCACTATTTGTTGTTTTTTAGATGTAACATATAGTCATATACATGATTTCGGTGGCTGATAAAATTGGCCTGTTTTGACACCCTAACTTGTGCAAAATTGTGGTGTACACCTACTCGTGTAGACTTAGCATGGTCCTTATCTTTTACGGAGTATGAAACAATATCAAAAGCATTTTTAATACTTTTT